ATATAATAAATATGAAATATTCAAGATTCGTACGATTAAAATTTGTAGTTCGGATTTGAGATGAAAAATGACGAACATAATTTAAGAAGTGTAAAGTCATACTATTTCCGTGCAATTGTTGAATTCAACATCGTTAAAGGGTTTGTTTCATTTAGCCGGACCACATAATATATGATTATTATATACTACAATCTAAATGAAGAATTTAAATATATGAAATTCTTATAAGATATGTATGTAGCCAATAATTCTGGTATTTTGTTATGTAGTTAAAATTCTTCTCTTAACACTTTTTAAGCTACAATTTATATGATATTTTAATAAAAAATGTTTTATATTGTTTAGCACTTTGTCTTTAAAAAAAATAATTAAAAACAAGATATAAAATTGGTACATATACAACCAAAAATAAAATAAAATGAAATTGATATATATAGAACTATTCGTTAACTTTGTTGTATTATCATGACTACTAGTACAGAGCTCGTGCAATGTACGAGATGCACAATTTTAAGGCTATTTATCCAGCCTTATAATTATACAAATAAATAAAAAAAATGTACGGGATATATATAGTACGTGACATGTGCAAGACACGGGATATATTTATCTGAGGATTATTATACTATAAGATTCAATATTCAATAAAATTTTTACAATACACGAGAATAAGTATAAATAATTTAAATATCTAAATACATACACGATATGTAGATTAAATAAGCCAAATTACAAATCGGAAAATATAATTAAAAAAATAATCAAAAATATATTTCACTAAGCATGTACAAAAATATCTAAATACATACATGAAAAAAAATATACGTTTCAAATTTCGAAATTAAAATAAAAATTCAAATAATTTGACTTACAGTTTTATCATGCAGAAACCAACTTGAGATATGATTTGTATGTGATGCCCCAGTCTTGAAAAAACATTCTCACAATTCGAACTTTGAGCATAGGTCTATTAGACCTATTGACTTGTTTAATTAACCAAAATCATTGATTCATTGTTTTGAATAAAAGATTTATTGGGAATATTTTTTGTTCGCAGGAGGTTGATAGTGAGGAAGATGATAACTCGATATTTTGAGATTTGTAATTTATAATGGGTAGAGTAGATATATATTGTTAATTTTTTATTAGAAAATCTGAATCTGAATATACAGAAATCGGTTTGAACAAAGTCAGAACAGATTTCCATACAATTAGTAATAAATAAAGCCTTTTTTATTTTAGTAAAGATTTTACGTACTTTTTTTTTACTTATTGGATGTTATGGGGTTTAAACCGATTTTATGGGATACAATACAATTACAATTATAGGATTGAACAAAATCATAACAAATTTCCATACAATTAAATAATAAGAAGGAATTAGATAAGGAAAAGAATGAATTAGATAAAGAATTTCGAATCTGCCTTTTTTTTAGTATAGATAGAATTTACGTACAAATTTTGATTTCACCGATTTTATGGAATTTGTTTTGACAAAATTGATGTTAATATGGAATAAGACAATTAAATAAAACATTTTTATTTTAGTAAATATTTTACGTCCTTTTTTTTTTTACTTATCAGATGTTATGTGATTTTTTTTCTTAAACTGATTTTATGAGATATAAGACAAATAAATAAAATAATTAAATAAAATTCTGGATAGAAATAGCAATGCATTAATTACGTTGACTTTTCAACCTACTAACTTTGGTAAATAGGATACCTTGTTATATAAGTATAGATTCATTAATCTTGTTGTATGATTATATGTTTTATTCAAATAAATCCTGATTGATTTTATATTCAAAATTAAATATCATTAAATCAAAGTTGGTATATAAAGAATTATTCACTCGGTTGTATGATTATATTTTATATTCAAATATATCATGATTGATTTTATATTTAAAATTAAATACTACCTCCTGTTCATTATAAAGGTCGTTTTGACTTTTGTGATTCATCTATTTTATTATGTATCTAGACATTAATATGTCTATATACATAACAAAATGAATGAATCAAAAAAGTCAAAACGACATTTATAATGAATAGAAGGGAGTATCATTTAATTAAAGATGGTATAGATAGAACCTTTTTTTTTTTTTTTTCAAAATGGTATAGATAGAACCACTCATTAACTTTGTTGCATGATTAGATTTTATATTCAAAATTACATATCATTAAATTTTTTGCGTGAGATAAATTTTACATTCAAATTTAAATCTCATGAAATTTGTAAATATGTCGTATACCTCATCAAATTTGTAAATATGTCGTGTGATTTCGTCTTATCAAATTTTTCCCAATACACGAATCAACATAATATGATATTCTTTTTATTTTGTATTCAGATAAATATGGAAAAAGAAACACCAATTAAGTTGAAAATTCAGAAATATGAAAATTATTATCCAAACTTAACATTTATATTAGATAAATACAAATTTTTAGTTATCACCATAAATATGAAAGTGATTTTGAATATATTGCCAAAAACGGATGTTAATTGGATATGAAAGTGATTTGAATATATTGCCAAAAATAAATGTTCAGGTCTTCAATTTAAATAAGTCATTGTTCATGGTTTTAGGAATTAAAATTTACGCAATATCTTTCTCAAATAACAAATATTCTGATATTAAATTCGCTATTTCCAAAAAAAAAAAATTAAAAATAATAACTTTATAAATTTTAAATGAGAATTTTAATCACATTTCAAGTAAATCATTCCCTCTATTATATAATAATAATAATAATAATAAATAATAATAATAATAATAATAATAATAATAAATTTCTTTAATTAGTAAGTCAAACTGTATAAATTATAATTAAAAAATCAAACTTAATATTTAAGTATCTTTCCAACAAATAGATCTGAAATCGCTATGCTAATATCATAATCTAGAAAAAGTCAATCAACACTAATCCTACCAAATTCCAAAAGAAAACATATAAACCCTATAAACAAAATCAAATCACACCATTCACTTGCTTCTTCTCGACTATCTTCCGATGAAAGTTGGAATGTTTTTTGCTATCGAAACTCGGGCTGGCGACCGGGCGGTATTCCGGAAGCAGGCGCCCCGACTTGTACCTCACGCCACAGGCATTGCACAAAGACCTCGGCCCATTCGGGCCCGCTCTCCACTGCGGGGTCTTCTCGGCCTGGCAGTGGCTACATCTCCTCCTCGATATCGACAAACCCGATTTCCTCGACCGTTTTCGGGAAGCTTTCCCTTTAATTTTTTGCCCGTACACACAACCGTACACCCCTTCAAATTCTCGTTCTTGAGAATACTCTCGTGAATCTTTAGTCTCTGGCTCGTAAGCTTTCCACAAATCCTCCTCACAGTAAACACCATCTAATGGGCCGTCGATTTCGTCGAAAGGGTCGACACACGCCGACAATTGAATCAAATCATCCAAAAAATTGGGGAAAAATTCGACGTCTTCAAGGTTATCGTCCGGCACGCATAACTGGCTTTGAAAGGCATCTCTAATATCTGCTTGGTTGAGTTCGATCACCATCTCAATGAATGAATTGTGAGTCTTATGTTTGTTTGTAAGAAGAAGAAGAAGGGAAATCAATAAAGGTGTCGAGCCGAAATCGAAAAACCGCACCGAACCGAGTTTGTCGTTTATGGGGGTTTTGAACGGGTTTGTGGTGTATTTATAGGAGCTTTTAGGGGACGTATATATGGGAAGGTGGATAAATTTTTGGAGCGAAACGTACGATTCAGTTTCTCTGTTTTCGAATTTTTTAAATTTGAATTGGATTAGGAGACCGACATTAATTTTTTTTCCTATGTTGTCTGGAATTTTTAAATTGAATTATTATGAGGATTAGCCTTATCCGAGGTTTCTTAGATGCGTGAACCGTGACGTGGAGTATATTTATTGGCGGACGCGGTTAAGGATGATTTCATAGGCCATATATAAATATTATAGGATAAAATTTTAAGGAAACTATTAGAAGGAAAAA